CTAGCCTGGCAGCAGCAGCAGCAGCTTCACTAGCACCAGTAGCACCACTACTACTACCAGCCAGCTCATTTGAATTTCTAATTAGGAAACCTCCATGCAATTATTGGATTAATGTAAATTACGAGAGCTCTGCTGCTGCTGCTGCTGCTTCTGGCTCGGTCTCTGCTGCTGCTGCTACCGCACAAGGGTACGAACTCTCTCCATCTCTCTCTCTCTCTCACTCTATTCTCCCACCTTTCTTTCCACCCTCTCCCTCATTCACTCACACTAGAGAGCCCGGCTATACACGAGAGGAGGAAGATCTCGCTCGCTCCGCGGGGGTTGGGGATAATTAAAATCCGTTGATTAATATGTAAATTTAATAAGATTACTGTTCTAGGAATGCTCGATGCAGAGAGAGAGAGAGAGAGCGAGAGAGAGCGAGAGAGAAAGAGAGAGCAAAAGCAGTCGAGACTGTGCTGGGCAGCGGAGCACTGGCACACACAGGGACTTGAACGTGCGGCGGCCGTTTCTGTGCACTCGCTGTATTTCGCTGCGTACATACATACATACATACATACATACACATTTATACGTACTCCAGTATGCTCTCTCTGCTTTTGAAGCCCCTTATATATTATACGACTTGCTCCGCGAGCTTTTTTTTATCTTGTATACTTTCCTCACTCTCTCTCGTTGTGTTTTATTGGCTTATCTCGTGGTCACACGCATCACTTAGTGACCGTTTCAACGTCTACTTGTAGTAGCAGTAGTAGCTGCAGCTGTGATTTCACCCAACACCATTTATTAACACGCTCGATCGAATTTTCTTTACTTTTCTGCTGCTGCTCCCTCGTTTCTCTCTCTCTCTCTCTCTCTCTCTCTCTCTCTCTCTCTTTCCTCTTACCCGTTCCATCAATAATTCAGCATTAAATTTCATCGATATGTTTTCACCTTGGATGTGCTAGTCGTATGAATCACGTAATTAACTCGCGGGTAATTCAGTCGAAATTTTTCATACCGGTTTATAAATCGGAGTGTACTTTACGAACGCTCACACTGATATATGCACTTATTCGCATTTAATATTCGATACTAGGCTTGCGCTCTCCGTATCACGGCGTATACATAAATTCGTTTCATAATTTATGCTCATCTTTCTCACTATGTATTTTATGTGAGACGCCGAGTGAACGCCATAAATATAGGAGCTCTGGATTTTATAAGAAGCTTTAAAATAGACATTAAAAGAAATGATTGCAGTGTACTGAAATATTTGTTGGTTATATCGCATTGATCTTTCTGATATGCGATCTGATATGTTCATTGATCAATCAAACGAGTATCGTTCAATCGTTACAATTGTTTATTTTGAAATTGAATTTTCAAACTCAGTAGTACCAATCTATCTATCTATTCGATATAAAAATTAAAAAAATATGGAAAAGCAGATATATTATTAACGTTTACTAGTTAAAAATGTAAAGGCTAATATATGTTGTAAAGGCTTCAATAAAAGGACGATGAATGATGACGGAAAGCACGAACGTTTTTTTTTTCATCAACGGCATCGCCACTTTTATTTATTTTGACACGATTTCCGCATACATACGTATGTACATAATACATATAATTTGGTTACATTTACATTCTTTATTATATTTGGCACGAAAAAAGGAGGGTAGGTGGCCGCGCGTTGGTAGCGTCGGGGCCGCCGCCGCTTCTGGTCGAAACACTTCGCGCGGAAAAAGTTTAATCAAGCAAAGTAGACTTTCATGTGTTTTTCCGCGCTGTATAATTTTTACGCTTCGAAAGGTATACAATAAATAATTCAATTAGCCAAACGTTAAAGTGCAAAATCATGTGTCACACAACCGAGCGAACAGTCAGATTGTAAGAAATACACGCATGCATCATGTAAAACAGTTGAATATAAATATATCTGAAAGTCTGCGTATTTTCTTTGTTAAAATTAGCAATGTTTTATTCTTTCGTTTGGAAATAAATGTGCGCGATCGAGTTACGGGTGTGACCACTTCTTTTGCCGCGTGCTCGTTGTCATTTTATAATTTAACGAATTAAAACTTGTTTCGCTTCGCAGATGTAGTACTACATTATGTACTATACATGCTCACAATGTACATGCTATGAATTTTGTATCATATTTTATTGCCTAATGATGTAGATAATACATGATATCGCGTGCATAGAAACACTATTACAGATTGAAAAATGTACCAATTGCAGGACATATAAAAATACAATACAAGTTCCCTGGTAGAAATGCCACACATTAATTTGGTGCGCTAATAACCAAAAAATGACCATTTAATATATTCTAGAGTACTTTATCATCAACTAGTTTATTTTTAGCAATTGTTTCGAAAAATTTAAACCAGTTTTCAACTACATTTAGCCTTCATCACTAGATGGCAAATGACTTTATCAGTAAATCTGCAAGTGGTAAAGTCAAAATAATCGCATAAGTCGTTAAAATTTGATGATAGTATGTTGCTTCTTGTTTTTTCTTCTGTAAATGTGTGATTGGCGAAGCAATGTACAAATATTGAGATTGTGCATTGTCAAGGGACTTTATTGTAACTTATAACGCGTAAGAAAACAGTGCAGTGTGATTGAACCAAAATGTTAAACATAGTTGATATGAGACGATGAAATATTAGTCGGCACGATGATCGTCTGAGAGGTATTAAAATTGCGATTTGCTTATTATGCACGCGCAAGATACACTAGCCGTTCAAGTATCGTCCACATCGATTTATATTTTTTTGTCGGCGATGATTGCACGGCTCACGATACACGGAACATTGATCTCCGAGCGTCGAACGATCTGCCGCACGGTACCCTCTCGAGGGATGCGCCGAGGCGATTTCAATATTTTTTTTCCCTCGCGCACTTTGAAAGCTCAGCTGCTGCTGCTGCTGCGTGTACACGCACGTTACCTCCCATATATATATCTGTATATATACAGAGTTTGTACTTATACGCGCGCATTAATGAAAGCAACGTCGAATTTTCGATTGTTCGCTGCTTAGAGTGGCGCTCGCCACTCTGCTGCCGAATGGCATAATGAAGTCGATAAAAAGCCATGCAGCACTTTGAAGCGCGCGGGAGAAAGAGAGAGCGGCAGCAGCATTTGCAAATTAACGCTCTGCCCCGCTCGTGCGCGCTCGGCTCAGCCATATCATTTTGCTAAGTTAAAACTCATAAAGGTTGATATGATACGTAGAATTATAACATTTGGATAGACGTAGAGCAGGGGTAATTTAGGAGAATAATTTGGCACGGTACTTCAATATAACTTCTCTGCACTGTACATTATAGCGATAATAAATTCGGTCATTGAGTATATCCATAATTGACGTTTCGTGTTCTCTCGCGAAGCTCTTTATAATATACATTATATACAAATACTTTTACAAAAATATAATGCATGAATAATGCATCTAGCTGCAGCTCGCACATATCGATCCGCACAGATGAAAAAAAAATTATTTTGCATTCTAAAGCTAATTGTGAGCAGTGCAGTGCAAATTTCACCGAACAAAAAAAAATACGGGAACTACAGACATCTGATAAATACTGAAAGTCGCACTGTATATTCGCCCGCTGCCTATGTGTACCCCGAGCATTGATTGTTATCATTGTCCCAATGTTCATGAAACTGGATCCTATTATAGGTTCTGGCGCGCGCGTATGTACTTTTTCCCTTGCTTGCGCGCCGCTGCGCGTACACACAGCGGCAGCAGCGGCAAAATAAAACTTTACAATTTTAATTCGCACATTGTTGCGAAAATTATACTCGTCGCTGAATCCTCATGCAAGCCCGTTTCTCTCTCGCTGTCTCTCTCTCTCTCTCTCTCTCTCCGAGCAGACAGATCAATGGTTATGATATATTCTGTAGATTCACGCTGCAATTCGCAGCTCTTGGTAATTCGCTGCCGATTGCGATTATTAATGACTTCGTGTTTTTTGTCGTCGCAGCGTATTTACGCTGAACGTAATTTTTAGTTTCGAAATTTTTGCTCATAATCATATCAGTTATGCGCACTGTCGCGAGTTTGTAAAATGGTGAAGATAATAAAATTCGAAAACAGGCAGTTGAAGTTAGTCGTAATTTCATTGAATAATTTTTACCATACGAACCTACTAATAAATACTTTTCATAATAAGCTCTTTCGTGGACTTCAAGCTCTTTTTCATCTCTGCCTATTCTAACACTAAAATGCGCGCACGCTCACATGCTTACAACCATTCCTCACGGGGCGAGTGTATATTATTATACGTGCACACACATATATAATATAACGCACACTCTTGTGTAGTGATATAATAACATTAAGCTTTATTTAGGTGAAGTTTAACTTTAAACCATGACTCGGGCTCGCTCGCACAGCAGCAGCAGCAGCAGCAGTAGCAGTAGTAGTAATTATGCAAGAAGTGAAACAATGCCCCTGACCGCATGATATATTCGCGCGCGTGCGGGTGACTTTTTTGCAAGACAAAGGCCAGTAGCTAGCTAGCGAGCTAGCTACTTGTATCACGCTCTCTCACCTATAACCATGAGGCTTTTTCTCTTGACTTTCTCTCACTCTCCCAACCGACCCCTTGCTGCGTGCACTTTTTTGGTCATTATTACACTTTTATTTTTTTTCTATGTGTTAGAAGCACGGCGAAACTTTACCGCACACACACATAGTACGGCTACTAGCAGCTAGTAACCGGGCAGCCGTGCGGACCGGATTTAGTTATCTTTTTTTTGGGTTACTCTCTTAGCACGTTGGTGGAAAAGAATTATTTAGTCCATACTTTGTCCGTTGTGTATGAGGTGTATTGAAGATCTTTTGAGGTTTTTAATGTACTTGCGCGAGTGTACGAAATGAAACTTGGCATTTCGAGTTAATGAAGTAAATTTTTGTAACCAAATATTATAAATATAAATAACATTCAATACGTTTAAACTACTGGAGCTCATTTTCACGCCATTTTTTCTCTGATTTCAGGTGAGTTATCCGAATGGACCTCAGTCTTCAGACTCATTACTAAATGGGAAAGACTCACTGGTAATGTATTAACTCTTTTCTCGCAAGAATCTATTTTGACTTGTGTAAATTGGTGTCTTTTCATTTAGAATTATATATTTATTTTAAAAAAAAGTAGTTTCTCTTTAGTGGTGTTATTGTTTACTCATACTTTATGCTCGCATTCACTTGCTTCAAATATCAGCTTTTTTGTTGTCAATGGTTATATATGAACGGCAGTTTGGTGCAGCCCAAACGTAAAATAGATTTCAGTAAAGTCGATGTGAAAAAAAAATTGAAACTATGAATGTGCACATACGTATATGTAATAACGGGGAAAAATCGCTGGGCTTCGTGCAAAACGACTATATATAATACACACATATTCGAAGGTATAATACTTTCCAGCAGAGCGGGCTTATTTTTTTTAAATATAGCCCTTCGCGCGCCCATCCTAAACCAAACCACCCAGCCAATGAGTACGGATCCAAAGTCCGCCTGGCAATAGCACAACAAGTGTAAAGAATCGACGATATATATAGCACATACCCATACATGCCATCGGAGGATCGAAAAAAGAGTCAAAGCTTTCGAGGGCGCACACACGCCACTGGTCCACAACACACAACAACGTTCACGAAAAAAAAGCCGCTGCAGCAGCAGCAGCAATCGGGATCTTTTGTTTAGGGGCGAAAATTTTTTGATCATCATCATGGTCTAGCTCAGAGTAATTTGTTTAATGCCTCGGCCCCTCCGAAAGTCCACTCACACACAAACATACCCAAGTTCTTATGAAATGTATACGCTGCACCGCCTGCTCCAGAGAGTCGTACACAGAGAGAATGTATGTGTGTTTGTGTGTAGGTAGGAGAGGTCGAGGTGCATTTAAATTTAGTGGTCGGCGCCTAACAATTTTTCCACTGCTGCTGCTCTCGTTCGGTGTTCTTTGTCGTCGTCGGCGCTGTGTGCTGCTACCACCTCTCCTTTTCTCTCTCGTGGGTTTGTGTGTGTGTGTGTATGCGTGTACCCTTTCACGTGTGCGAATAACGTCGCTGAAACGGAAGCTCGTGGTGCGAGGTAAAGAGGTGCTTATGGTTCGGCGTGGAAAAAAATACGTCGGAATAGAGAGACACGCACACACACTGGTTTACCTAGAAAAGGTGTATCTGTAAAGGTGTATGGAAGCAACCGAGTAAAATAGAGAACAAAGAGATGCGAAAGAGCGAACGCGCGCGCGAGAGAGAGAGAAAAAGAGATCGGCCGCTTCGAAAACGGCGGCTGCTGCTCGACGGTTCGGTGATGCAACGCAAACGCACGTCGTCTCTGTATATACGTTTATCTATTCTCTTTCATCGTTTCTGGATAGGTGTACGGAAAAAAAATTGGCTCGCTTTCGTCCATTTGGTCTCTCGCTTCGTTTCTTTTTGCGGTCCTCTCTCTCTTCCTCTTGCCTCTTTCTATCTCTCTCGCTTATATATACTATATGTTAATCGATGTTTCGTTTTCGATAAATTCCCGCTTTTTACGATTATCTCTCGCGAACGTAGTACGAGCCAGCGAGCGCGTATCGGCCAAAGAGAATCGACTCATCGGTAAGTTTCGATAAGCTGGAATAAAGCCGTTGTTTTTATATTCATGCCAGACTGGCGGTATACTCGGACGCGTACAGCATAAAACAAGCTTTGCTCGAATTGAGCGACTGTTCGTGCGAGTCTCTCTCGCTCTGCGGTACCTCTTCTCGTGTACAAGAGAGAGTGTATATCGTATATTCGTTTCCAGGTGTTTTTCGAGGCGAGTTTTCGCCGCGTGCAGTCTATTTTTGACATTAGAGAGGATTATATTATATAGAAAAAAGAGATGGCTGAATAGAAAATTTCTATTGAGGCGTGTGCGCGCGCGCGAGCGAAACTTTGGACATCGGAGCTTTATAAAAAGAATTAAGTTGACGAACGGCTATTTTATGTACTTTTTCAGTGCTCGATGATTTAGAAAATAAATAATAAAAGAGCCATTTTCAATTTAATAAATTTCAAAATAAGTCATCGCTAATTAATAATTTTTCTCCAAGTGTATCATTTATAACCAAAGCACAGAAAAAGAGCAAAGAAAATAAAAATAAATAAAAAATAAATAAATCACGCTTTCCACTTGCCCGCAGTGTACTGCTACTGCTTGGCATTATATGCGCGCATGCATATACTACTCTCGCATTATACATCGAGCACAGCTCGAGCGTAAGTAATGAAACGTGTTCTCGCTCTGGCCCGAATATATATGCGCGCGCGCGCGTCTTTTGCGTTTTTATTGGCGAATAAAATTAGACGTCCGCGTCGTAGTCGTCGTCGTGCCGCGTCGCGGGTAGCAAAACTGCAGCAGCAGCTGCATATATATGTATGTATATATAATGTGCAGCAGCAGCAACACACAGAGAGCGAAATGCGTGCAGTGCGTTTTTAATTGGCTCCCGAAGGCCACGCGCGCGCGCGCACACACACATATCGCGAAACACGATTAACGCCGTGCTTTGGAGAGCGAGCGAGCGCGCGCCCTCCTACGTCCATAGATAATTGTGCAGACACGTCGCTTATATATACACACGTATAAAATGTCGCTCGGGTATATACCTTCCTCGCGCGCGCACCGTTTTCACTGCCTATAATACTTTGTTGTCGTCACGCACTTTATCTTGCAGAGTAAATTAGAATCTCCGCTGTATCCGTTCCTCGTGCGGACGAACTTTTAATCGCGTGTTCGGGATGAGGTGCGATTCTTTCACACTCCATAATTATAAGAATTTTTAATTTCGATGAAGCCTGCATCGCGTCGATTTGCATTATTGTTGCATATTGTCGGGTTGACTTGCAAGCTTGCGAACCCAAGCTTTTCAAAAACGCGGCTGGTTGAGCGACATGCGTATTGTGCGGTTGCTGCATCGGCTTGATTATATGGGGTGTCGATCGTCGCGATGCATAAAAAGGCCTCGTGCGCATCGCACACACATATAGCTATTATCTTCCCGAAAGAACTTTTGTTCGATTTTTGACTTTTTCTCTCTTTGCCTCAGTTCGAAATGTGTATTATTCAGGTAAGCTCTTTCGTGTGTTACGTGTGCGCCCACGCAAAGAGCCTCGTAGAGTTTTGTTTTTGAATAACATACACAGACACACACATAGCTGACGCGGGGAATTTTCTGTGAACGTTCGATGAGAAAAACAGAGCGGATTTTGGCCATTGATGCCAGCAGCAGCAGCCTGGCTCTCGTTTTGGTTACATAAACAATCATTGAATCGATGTCGAATGATCACATAGTTAATTAAAAGATCAGCATCCGTTCGCATAAGCCTCTCTTGAAATGCTAAAGCTCAATTGGATTTCTGTATGCGCAACCGCAACACTTGCTCACTCGTAGAGAGGATCCTGAATGAAAAGGATATTTTATAAAAGCACATTTACTGTCGTTATATTTATAAACAAGAGAAAATCGCTTGATTCCAGAATTAAGCTTATAGGCATTAGCGGGTCAATTAAAAATTGTACTGAACAATTAAAATACTTATTAATACAAAAAGTTTTGAGTGAGTATACTAGTTTGTAAAGAAACAACTACTTTACACTTTTACTATATGGAAAGTTATTCTTGCAATAACAATTCTTTATAGGTTTAAAGCAAGTTTACGTACTTTTCGCGGAATAATACGTGTAATTGAAGGTACACTGTGGAGAAGACTTGCTCTTGGCGTACCGGTATGTTAATGTGTACTTATGTGCTTGTACGTGTATACGTGTGTGCTTGTATGTGTGTGTATATAACTTGCAAAGCGGTAATGAGATCGCGATTCGAATTAGCCCGAGAGAAAATCCAGATCTCATAATGAGAGAAGGGTGGGAGAAAGAGAATATGTGTGTTTCCGTGTGTGTGAGTATAAAGTTGGCGGCAGGTCTAACCGTAGTAGTTACGCAAAGCAGCAGCAGCAGCAGCGCCGATTTGACAAAGCTAGTTAATGCACGCGAAGGAAAGTCTTTCTCGCTCATAAGGCTGGAAGGAGTTTTAGCCTGCGAGTTACACAGCTACGTATAACATTTGCTTGCGTACATACTTACTGCAGTTGCGTCTTGCGCGAATTCATTGACTTTGACGAATAAATTAGCGCATGAACACGGCGGAGTGAAAGAGAAGAGAGCGAGAGAGAGATGTATAAACACCCACAAACATACATATATAGAGTCACACGTAACCACGCTTCTCGAGCTCACAACTTCTTCCATTATAAATAACTATAAGCTTTTTCACAAAACGTTCTCTCGCTTGTATCACTAATTCGTATAATAAAGGCGCATTAAAACAATGGCTCATCGAAAATCTTTGTCTTTATCTCTTGTCAACTCTTGACTATCTTGTTTGTTTGTCGAACTTCCTTTCGTACTTTAAGCATCAAATTATGCTTCTCGTGCCAATTTCACTCTCACAAAAATTAATTACTATGGCTATTTCACTTTTTACTTTATTTACAAATTTCTCTACTGAGTATTTCGCAAATTATTTCATCACAAACGTGGGTGTAGCTGCATAGATTATAAATCAAACTAACTCTCTTTCTATCTGAGAAAAGCTACTGCAGAAGCTGTACTCGTATTATAAACAGTCAAATCTAGTGTACCAAGTCGCAGCAGATTCCACTCCATGTACACGTGTGATTATGATGCGAGCTTTGTAACTTGCCGTATAATAGGCAAAAGTAAGTTATAAGTACGGGGTGAAGAGAGAGATAAAAGTAAACTATAGGCACTGTGTGTCGCACAAGCTACTATCTAATTGTAAATTACAGCAAGATGCATGCGTGGAATATTAAAACCATTATTGTCATTGCATATTCATGTTCGTCTATCTAGGCATTATAATGAAAACCCACTGTTTGTCACCTTATATAGATTAACAGCATTCATCTGCTATTTATGTCGATAAACGCCACTGTAGGATGCCGATGGGTTCTTATTAATAATCCTTGTCATTTCTTCAATTTTTCTTTTTCATTCGAGTTTAT